AAAAAAAAAAAAAAAAAAGAAAAAAAAGAAGCTGAAATAGGCCGGGCAGTGGTGATGCACACTTTTAATCCCAGCACTGGGGGAGGCAGAGGCAGGTGGATCTTTGTGTGAGTTCAAGGCCAGCCTGGGCTACAGAGTGAGATCCAGGAAAGGTGCAAAGCTACAGAGAAACCCTGTCTTGGAAAACAAATAAACAAAAAAAGCTGAAATAAGGGCCATGCTGAAAAAGTACAGAGCATCATTCCTGAATACCTGTGGCAGGGGAGCCAGGCTGAGATTTGCCAGAGGGAATCAACACCCAGCTCAGACCTGAGGAATGGAGAGGCACATCCAGGTGAAGGCTTAGGGAGCTAGACTGGAACTGGAGTACAGGTTTAAATGCCCAAGCTGGAAGAGGGCAGAGCGGGGGAAGACAGAACCTGAAAAGAGGATGGCTAGGAGGGATCCAGAGACAAGCTCAGCGGGAGACCCTACTGCCTTTGGCTAAAGCAGGGACATACTTTGAAACATGAAATTCCTTTAAAAACACGCCCCCACCCCCCCAAAAAAATCACCCAGCATCTCGAAACTCAGTATGTAGGGCATAGTAGCACATGCCTTTAGCCCCAGCAGGCAGGAAGCAGAGGCAGGAGGACCTTTTTTAGTTCAAGGCCAGCCTGTTCTACCTAGAGAGTTCCAGGATAGTCAGGGCTATGTAATCCCAGCACTAGGGTGACAAGGAGGGAGGTCAGCAGCTCAAGGACACCCATGGCTACATGGTGAGTTTGATGCAAGCGTGGACGTGCATATCTTTAATTGGGAGGCAGAGGCAAGAAGATCTCAGAGATTCAGTCTTTCTCCCACATGGAGGACAGAGGGAGATCAGGCTAGCTCACAGGTCCAGTCTAGACAGGAAGTGGCCAGGACTGCAGTGAAAGCTCTGGAGGGATGGGAAGAGATGAAGAGAGACAGACTGACTTAAGACACACTGACAAGGTAGAACGTCCGACCGGACTTTCTGGATGCAAACATGCCTGTGATCCCAGAATGTGGGAGGTAAAGACGAGTATTGGGAGGGCTCAAGCTGAAATAATCAGCTGCACAGTGATCTTGAGGCCAGCCTCAGCCACAAGAGACCTTTTTATCCCAAAAAGCAAACACAAAAAGAAGTGACCAGGCCTAATGAAATATTTGTTATAGGCAGGGTGGTCAGTGAAAAATCAAGAATGACTCCCTACTTATGGTATCAAAAGGGATGGTCTTTGCTTGAGTCCATCCCACGACAATCCTGAGGTGGCTCTGAGAGAAATGTTCTGAGAAGGACATGGGTTAGAATCAGAAAGATCATGAGACAAAAAGGGCCCACAGGAGCTGGCTGACTGGAGAAGGGTAACTGACTGGGTTAACTGGAAAGGTTCTTCCTCTCTCCTCTCCTTCTCCCCCACCCCCATGCTGAGAGTACACTATGGGGCGTTGACGCTAGGCACGTGTTCACCGAGACACACCTCCAACTACTGAAAGCATCTTAAGGCCTTCATTCTCTCTTTGGCTTTACAATTTTTTTTTAAACATTTATCTGCTTGTGTGTATATACGTGTGCATGCAAGCAAAGTGGTCAGAGCATAACTTGTAGGAATCACTAGATGGGTCCCAGGGATCAAATTCAGGTCATCAGAGTTGGTAGCTAGCAAGTAACTTTCACCTGTTAACCATCTCACCAGCCCTAGTTTTTGATATGTAGTTTTAATTTAAAACTTACTTTTATGTGCATGGGTGTTTTGCTTGCATGTATGTCTGTGCACTACCTGCATGTGGTACCTGAAGAGGGCACTGGATCCTCTGGAACTAGAGTTACAGTCAGTTGTTAGCCGCCACATGTGGGTGCCGGAAATCAAACCTAGGTCTTCTGGCAGAGCAGCCAGACTGTTAACAATCTCTCCCTGGAAGCTCTGTTTCATTATCTATCACAGCGTGCACACACACACACACACACACACACACACACACACACACACACACACACACACACACACACACACACACACACACGAGCTCCAGCCAGAGGACGAGGACAAGTTAAGGGATGGTTCTCTACTTCTGTGGATGTTCTAGAGATTGAACTCAGTTTGTCAGGCATGGTGACAAGCACCTGGACCTGCTGTGTATTTCTAAGCCACCATACTAGTGCTTGTTAGGAGTGCTTTTTTGAGATAGCGTCTCATATAACTCAGGTTAGCCTTGAATTCAATAGGCAGCTAAGAAAGACTTGAACTCCTGATCCTCCTGCCTATACCCACAAGTATTAGGATTACAAAACTGCTCAGTTTAAGTCTTTTTGTTTTTTTTAAGAAAGTGTCTCTGTAGCCCTGGCTGTTCTGGAACTCTCTGTAGACAAGGCTGGGCTTGAACTCACAGAGATTCATCTGCTTCTGCTTTCCAAGTGCCGGGATTAAAGGCCTGGGCAGCACACCACCGTGCTTGGCTTATGTATGGCTACACGAGGAACTGCCACGAGTCAGAGGAACACGGTGGAAGCCAAATTTCTCAGGCTACAGGAACCCCCCCAAATCTGCAGGTCAGGGGGGACACTCACCGGGGGACAGCTGGAAATGCCGCCGCTGCCGAAGAAGAACTCGTCCTTGTGTACAACTATAGAGGTGTGCCTGTCACAGAGAGGGACAGTGAGCCAGAACGCTGGTAACTTCTCCAAGAAAAGCAAAGCACCATACTGCAGTGAGAACAATTTCTGCCCACAGATGTCCCTGTGACGGCCAATTTCATATTAGCCAGGGGAAGACATGAGTAAGACATACTCAGTGTCCCTCTGAGTCTGGGATGACTGATCTGGAACTGTCCCCATCTCCATCCCCAATTCACAGATGCTCAAGTCCCTTGTCTACAATGGAACAGACATACACAGAACTTACACACACCCTTAAGTACATTTTGAATCATTTAAAGATGACACACAGTATTGTACATGATGTAAATGCCTTACAGTCACTGCACTCTACTGTTCAGGGAATAATGATAAAAGAGTCTGTACGTTTAGGATAAGCACTTTTATATTTCAGAACATCTAACATCTTCCTTTTTCTTTTTTTCCTTTTGTAAGACAGAGCCTCACTATGTAGTCCTGGTGGGCCTGGAGCTCCCCACGTAGACAAGACTGGCCTCTATTTCAGAGATCCGCTTGCCTCTGCCTCCCCTCCTAGGTGCTGGGATTAAAAGTGTACGCCATCACTCCCGGCTAACATTCAGGATTTTGACACTGCTTCCAGGAGCTAACTTAGGCACAGGAGAATGGAGGGCACAGCAGCATACTCCTTTTTTGGAACATTTCCGATCTGCAGTAGGTGGGACTCGTGGACAAAGGCAGCAAACAGCACCACAGATCGGTGTCCTCCCTCTGGACACTGACATTGGGGTGGATGACGCTATTGTAGGAAGCATTAATGGAAGGTGATTACCCGTAGGTGACAGTAGCACCCTCCCTCTAGCTCTGACATGGAAGTCTCTAGACATGGCCAACATCCTGTGAGCTGGAGGGACAAAATCAGCTCCACGGAGAGCTGCTGTTTTAGAATAGGGGAAATTGGGGGCTGGAGAAATGGCTCAGCAGTTAAGAGCACTGCCTATCCTTCCAGAGGACCCAGGTTCTATTCCCAGCACCCACATGGTGGTTCACAACTGTTTGTAACTTGAGTGTGATGGAATCCGACACCCTCTTCTGGCTTCCTGGGCAGCAAGCACTTACATGGTACACAGACATACATACACCCTTACCATAAAAACAAAAATTCAAAAGATATCTCTAGAAAAAAAAGGGATATGGGATAGCGTCAATATGAGGAGTCCCACCCCACTTACCAAATGCCTTCCAGTTGCTTCCCTGTGGAGAAAAAGAGAGGATTAGCCATTTGGGACAAGACTGAATGCCCCCCTCAGCCTGGGTAAACTTAGAACTCACTCAAACCAGGAGAAAACTGTTAGAGGCCTCCTGGAAGTCTTTCTAGAAACTCAGCTCTTCCATGGCAGTTCTCTGGTTGTGACAAGGGTGCACTGTGTTCAGGAAGTTCAGAAGCAACTTTGCTTTATCAGAAAGCAAATAAAAACACTGGCACACGTGTTTATTTCCCAGCTGGGGTTAAATCAACTATGTCATTTACAGCAAACCCACAGTAAAACAATGAAGGATGTTACCTAGTTCTCCGTTAAGGTGCAAGTCTTAAGAAAACAATGGAACCAAACTAAATGGTGTGTTCTAAAAAGGCAATGCACATTTATTTGGTGCTGGGGACTGAATGAAGGCAGGTGTATGGGCATGCTAAGCACACGCTCTCCCACTGGCCTGCACTCGGGGCCTATTATCCTAATCTTCTACCTACCAGCTACCTGCAGAAGCTCCAAGTGGAAAGAGACACACATAAATAACGAACTAAACACAATGCTGATAAGCTCTGAAACAGTGGTAAAAACAGGGTGCTATGTTAATAAAGATGAAGAGCTACCTTCAAGAGCTTGATTTCAGCCAATGAAGAAGTGAGCAGGGGCAAAGATGGTTGTATCTGCCAGAGAGAAGCCTGTGCAAATACGTGAAGACTGAGATAAGGTCTCATGCATTCTAGGCTGGCCTCTAACTGGCTATGTAGCCAAGGATGACCTTGAATTCTGATTCACTTCCACCTTCTGGGATTAAAGACGTTTATCACCACTTTCCGTTTATGTGATACTAGGAATCAAGCCCAGGGGTTTGTGCATGCTAGATAAGCGCTTTGCCAGTGGAGCCATGTTCCCAGACCTATTCTCACATAGTTAAATGTTACACAGTGTACATTTATAACCATTTTAAAAAGATGAAAAGAGCCCTGTTTTAAGTTGGGCACTAGTGGCTCACGCTTTTAATTCCAGCACTCAGGAGGCAGTGGCAGATGGATCTCTGAGTCTGAGGGCAGCCTAGCCTACAGAGCGAGTTCCAGGACAGCCCGACGGACGTTTTGTCTAGTATGAAAAGAAAGACAAGATGTGAAGATGAGTTTGTTGGTGATGCTGAGGTAGAAATGCATGAGCCTACCCTTGGGAAGAAAAGAATGAGGACCATGGCCTTGGCAGGATGGCAGGCACGGGAAAAAGCAGGCCCCCCCATGTTTTAATTTTTTAGGCAGGATTAGGATGAGAGAAGGTGAGGTGTGGTAGTGCAAACTCTGAAAGTAGGGCACAAAGCCCTTGGGGGACATGAATTAGACTCGTGGATATTAGCACAGCATAGAGAGGATTACTTCCCACCGGGATGTCCTCAGTCACGTGGCTGCGTGCCTCTAAGCTTATTGGCACATCCAGCACATTCACTCTGAGGCCTACGCAGGAGTATGGATGTGGGAAACAAAGAGAAGACATGGGTGTCAGCTCACATCACAGATGACCGAAGGTGTAGGGCCAGGGGTGCTGGTGTCTGCCTTCACTGTCCAGGAGTAAAGAGGCACCAGAAGTGTTGGGGTGAGCACTCCATCTGCTCTTAGCCTTGGAGCTGGAGTGTAAACCTACAGACACACAGGCCACCAGTCCCAGCATACTGCTGCTGCTATGCAGATGCCTATTACTAAGAGTTAAGAGGATGGCAGTGAGGAATTCCTGAGGCACAAGCCTCTTTGCAGGTGGCCTTTCGTCTCTGGTAGGGAAAGGGAACATGTTAGCTGTATGGTATAGATCAAGTGCAGCCCTGGTTCACACCACATAACCCTCCCCTAGCAACATAGTACTTTAACTGGCACTTCACCAACAATGAGATGCTTACGTGTTAACTGGAAACTCTGCTTACTCTCTGGGAAAAAGGAAAAGGAAGCATTTGTATAATGCAGCCCTCTGCCGTCAATATTATAAGAAAATAATGCTGGGTGGTGGTGGTGTATACCTTTAATCCCAGCACCCGGGAGGCAGAGCCAGCCTGGTTTACAGAGCAAGATCCAGGACAGGCATCAAAACTACACAGAGAAACCTTGTCTCGAAAAAACAAATAAACAAACAAAACACCCCGTCCCCCCAAAATTGCTTATTAGCAGATGGGTTTACCCTCCTTGTCCGTGGAGAGAGAAGGGGTGCCAGGAGATCACCACGGAGGTAAAGCTCGGTGGTATGTGCCTTACACCATGCACAAGGCACCAAGTTCTAACCTGAGCACCACAAAATAATACATTCTAAAAGGTAGGCTTAAGCTGGGTGGTGGCGGCGGCGCAAGCCTTTAATCCCAGCACTCGGGAGGCAGAGGCAGGCGGATCTTTGTGAGTTCGAGGCCAGCCTGGTCTACAGAGCGAGATCCAGGAAAGGCGCAAAGCTACACAGAGAAACCCTGTCTCGAAAAAACAAAAACAAAAACAAAACAAAACAATAACAACAGCAACAACAACAACAACAACAACAAAAAAAACCCAAAAAGGTAGGCTTAAAAACACTGAACAGTATAGTACCATAGTCTTTAGAGTCAGTACAGGATTTTTTTTTTTCCTAGTGTAAAAATAACTGTATCAGATGTGATAATATGCACCTGTAACCCTAGCACTTGGAAGGCTGAGGCAGGAGATTTGCTGTTTGACCAGCCTGAGGTACAGGATATGTAGGTCAAATAAACCCTTCCCTCTCCAAGTTGCTCTGGTCATCAAAGTGTTTACTACAGCAATAGTAACCCTAACTAGAACACTATATATATATTTTTTTCTTAACAGAACTGGACTTTGTTGTAGAATCTGACATAGGAAGGCTGGTGTCCAGTGTGTTAAACATGAGGTGGCTGCAGATGTTAAGCAGGAGTATGCAGAGCTGCAAGCTACATTGGTTTGCATTTTGCACAGTAAAGATGAAGGATTCCTATTCCCTCATTCCTTCAGTGGATATAAAACAGTGAACACACAATGAACAATAAAAATGAAAACAAAGCACAATAGAGGGCACTAAAACACACAAGAAAAAACAAAACCCTCTCTCAGATTTGAATAAATTCTAGTTAATCTCCAAATCTGAGTCATTCCTATAATCAATACTGGGAAAGAGGGTACAGTTCAGTGGGGCACCACCCACGTGGGTGCTCACATCCCTTAAGGAGCGCCCACTCTCGGCAGTCACTGGGGTACTCTGGGGTACTCTGCGGAATGGGTGTCTCTGCCTCCAGAAGCTCCGGGCTCCTGCTGAAAAGATTCAAGCAGCTGCTGCATTTATCTTGGCATGCGACTGCCATCTCTTTTATATGGTTATTTCATTTTATACATTACTTTTCAAGAAATTACACCTAAAGAGGCCCTACTGCTATTGTCCTAGGATCTAGATATAAAGACCCAAATAGTCACTGCATTGTGTCAAGATGAACGCAGATTCGGTGATTTTTTTAAAAAATTTTTTAAACCCATGGCATACTAGGCAAGCACTCTAACATGCAATTTCCTAAAACTTTAACCTGAGAACAATTTGATGAGCTCCTAAGAAAAAAGTAACTGTTAGGCATAGATATAAAACTGAGTTAGAAACATGAAACACCTGTTAGCTTTGTTACAAAACCAGTGTCAGGGCTGGGGAGATGGCTCAGTGGGTAAATGTGCTCCTCATGCAAGCCTGAGGACCGGAGGCAGAGTAACTCAAAGTTCAAAACCAGCCTAAGCTGCATCATGAGACCCTATCATAATCCCCCACTCCTCCAAAGCCTCTGCATTTATCTCTACATGATTTTTCACAAAAAGAGGTCAGGAAATTTAAAGAGTAGCTGAAGTTATTAAGAAGAGCTGAAGGACAATTTTAATACTAATTATATTAGCCAAATAGTGATATGGGGAGAAAAGGTGCAATTAAGCTGTCCACTCAATTAGAGTGCCAAGAATAATCACGGCAAGTGAGGTACTGCAGAACACACACACACTTTCGTGGGAGGCACATGTCCTCAGAATAGGACAGGATAGGGGCCAGAGGGATGGCTCAGTGGTTAAGAGCTTCAAAGGGCCCAAGTTTGGTTCCCAGCCGCCATGTCCAGTGGTTCACACTGCCTGAAACTCTAGTCTTGGGGATCCAATGCCCTCTTCTGGCTTCCACGGGCTCCAGCACACATGGCTTACATTCAAAAGAAGGTTATCAGGCTTGTATAACTAGAGCTTTTATCCATGAAACTATTTCCCCAGCCCAGAAATGTGTTTGTTGTTGTTGGTGTGTGTGTATGTTTTGTCTTTTTGTTTTCTTGAGACAGGGTTTCTCTGTGTAGCCCTGGCTGTTCTGGAACTCACTTTGTAGGCCAGGCTGGCCTCCAACTCAGAGGTATGCCTGCCTTTGCCTCCCAAGTGCTGGGATCAAGGTATGCGACACCACCCCCCAGTGTGTTTGTTTTTTAAATTTTCATTACTACTGTAGTATACTCTCACATGTGGCATACAGGCAAACATAAATAAAACTTAAAAAAGAAAAAAAGGACAAGATAATTTAGTGATGTCTAAGTCTGTGTTATTTAAGTCAACTATGAACTATACCAGAATCGAATAAGGTCTTGAAGTTATCATTTTTTTATTTTTTTGAAGTTATCATTTTTTTTTTATTTTTTATTTTTTTTTTGAAGTTATCATTTTTAAAAGTAACTTTATTATTATTTCTGTGTACAAGTGTGCACCTGGGAAGGTAGAGGAGTGTCAGAGCCCCTTGGGGCTGGAGTTACAGGCAGCTGTGAGCTACCTGACCTGGGTACTAGGAACAGGTCCTCTGCAAGAACAGCCTGTGCTCTTAACCACGGAGCCTTCTCTCCAGCCCCTGGAAGGAAATTTACATGACTAAAGTGTGACATGGATTTGCTGTGTGAAAAGGAGGGCTAAGAGGGGTGGGCACAGTGCTAAGAAGAGGAGTAGCACACACACGGGGAGCCCAGATCTTTTTCAGTAAATCTTGAGACGCCTGTCTAAGGTCACCTTTAGACATTTGAACAAGGAACCCACTTTACATTAGCTGTAAGGGAACACATTACCTTGGACAGCTGGTATTAGCAGAATGGTGGTGAGATAAGCTGAGTCCATAACCCAGCTCAGCTGTGTGACTTGGGGCAAATAACAAGACCTATTTCACAAGGTGTGGTAAGGATGCCAGTGTCCGCAACTCAGAAAAAGGGGTGGGGGGCGGGCTGTGACAAGTTCTCAACTACTCTGCTATATTCTTCTAGAATTCCTCTCAAACACGAGTAAATAAACACATTAATTTTAGCACATGTACAAATGTGTGGGTGCAGAACGTTGCACACGTGGCAGTGAGAAGGCAACTTTCTGGAGTTGGCTCTCTTCTTAGGTTCTGGGGACCAAAGTCAGGTGGTCAGGCTTGGAGACAAGGGTCTTAACCTGATGAGCTGTCTTGCTGGCCCATACAAATGACCTTTTTAAAGTGTACATATATTTGGGAATGAGAAATCAATATATGGGGACTAACTGAATGTGGGTATACCCAACTTTGATGATGCTGGCATCTCAAAGGGAACAAGAGAAAGGCCGTGCCTATTTACACTCTATTTGTTTTTTTGAGACAGGTTTTCTCTTCATAGCCCTGGGTGTCTTTGAATTCACTATATAGGTCAATTTGGCCTTGAACTCACAAAGATCCACCTGTTTCTGCCTCCCAAGTGTTTCGATTAAAGGTGTTCGCCACCATACCCAGCATCCAGTCAGTTTATTTTATTTATTTGTTTGTTTATTTATTTATTTATTTATTTTTGTTTTTCGAGACAGGGTTTCTCTGTGTAGCTTTATGCCTTTCCTGGATCTCGCTCTGTAGACCAGGCTGGCCTCAAACTCACAGAGATCTGCCTGCCTCTGCCTCCCGAGTGCTGGGCTTAAAGGCGTGCGCCACCACTGCCTGGCCAGTCAGTTTATTTTTAAAGAAGCGTTTACTGAGCACAACCAGAACACTGCCTGAGCACACATTTAATCCCAGCACTCGGGAGACAGAGGTAGGCAGATCTCAGTGTCCAAGGCCAGCCTGGACTACAAACAAGTTCCAGGGTAGTCAGGGCTACACAGAGAAACCCCGTCTCCAAATAAAAAAAAAACCAAAAACAAACAAAAACAAAAAAAAAAACACCCAGTAATAATAACAACACCAGCAACAACATCACTACTACTAGAGCCCTGGCTGCCCTGTGCTTGCTTTTCAAAGACAGGCTCTCACTCTGCAGCCCCAGGTAGCCTCAAACTTGTTATCCTCCTGCTTCAGAGTGCTATGAACTACCTGGCTTTTCTTAAATGCTTTTAACTTTAGAAAGTAATGACTATGATTTTTGCTAACTCTCCCTTCCTTCGTTTTGTAAAAGGGAACAAAGACAAAACAGGAAAAAGGAGAATTAAATTTGTAGCAAGGCTCTAGACTCTGATGTGCCATACTAGTGGAGTTTCATGTTTGGCTGATACCTTCTAGAGCATCACATCTGTTTAAAGGGACAGGGTGCCAGGGATGTCGCTCAGTGATGGGACGCTTGACTAATATACTTGAAGTGCTTGGGTCCAAGCCCCAAGGGCTAAGGGTGGTGAGTCTATCACTTCCCCTGTCTTATATTCTTCCCCCTTTACAACCATACTCCCCACACGGCATTTTTCAGCCCCTCCAACAGCCAGGCTTTCCTGCTCTAGATCTTGGCAGGTCAATCCTTTTATCTTGAGGCCTCTAACTCCTACATCATCTTCCATGGATGGTTGCTTCTTCCTCATCCTATATTTTCAGCTTAAAAGGCACAGCTTCTGAAACTCTTATTTAAAACCAAGTTTCCTATATTATTTTCTATCTTGGCATTTAGCACAGATCACAATTTGTTTTTAATATATACATATGTATTTAATATATATACATAAATTTCCCACACTAACTAGCTTCATGATTGCAAACATCTCTGTTGGTTCTACTCACCTCTGTTAAACATTAACACATTATACATCAGCATATGCTAAACACTCCAATATTTGTTTAATGAACAAAACGATCTCTCGTGTCTCTTTTGGCTAAAAATATTTTTTTTGGCTATTAGGACAAAAAATAACTAGTATAAGCGGGGAAGGCTTTATGGGTCTAGGAGACAGACAATGCCTTCCTGTGATAAAACTAGACAAACGGCTTCAGTCCAAGGTTTAGCTAGAACCTGACTGATAGAATCTACTAATGACTCAAGCGTCCCACAACTGATAAAGAAGACTGGGAAGTTTTGTTTTCAGATTTGCCTTACTTCCTTCTTAGGTGTGCTGGAGACTGAACTCAGGCCTCGTGCGGGTGTTAAGTAAGGCCTCTACTACTGAGTCATACCTTGACCCTAAGCCCTGCATACAACCCATGACCTAGGTACAAACCACTCTCCAATAAAGGGATGGCTTGGCTACATAAGAATGATCTGAAAAACTCATTAACAATACAGATTTCCAAAAATTCTGTTTTAGTGTTTGTGAAGCATGGCTCTATGATTCATACATTTAAAACTTACAGATGCGCACACATATTTAAACAATAAGAAAAGTTTGGGGTAAAGCTTCTCCTTCACTCCACGTCTGCTTTCATACCACATACCAGTTTCTTTGGTGGAGGAACTGTTTTAACCTCATCTCTCTCTCCATTTTCTTTCTTTCTTTCTTCCTTCCTTTCTTTCCTGCACTATGTAGCCTAGGTTATTGGTCTTGAACTCGAACCCTCTTGTCTCAGCCTCCTTAGTACTAGGATCACAGGCATGCTTCACCACAGGTTGCTCTAATTTTTTTTTTCCAATTCCAATTTAACCATGTATGTTGGAAATGAATGCATCTGTTTTTTGTTTCAGTGCTGGAGATCAAGCTTGAAGCAAGCCAAGCAAGAACTCTTCCAGCGAGTGAGCTACGACCTTAGTCAGGTGTGTTTTTAACAAACGTTCTAGATGATTCTGGTGTGAAGCCAAATTTGGAAACCACTCACTGGCCCAGAGTTGAAGGATTAAGTTCAACTCAGTGACACATCACAAATGGATGGCCCTCAAAAGTTGCCTTGCCTCCTTATCTCTGCCCCTTGTCCTGCCTGGGAAGAACTAAGCCCTTCTTCAGGAAACTAGCTATTCAAACGAACAACCCAAAACTATGTCATTTTTCAATCCCTGAAATCCTTTTCTGTCCACCATTACCTGAAAAGACAAACCTGGCAAGTCCTATGTGACACAGACATTTTGGTATTTGACTTGAAGTTGGACCTATACTGAAGGGCTGCTTTTCTCTCTCAGCACGAAAACATTCGATCTGAACACAATCGAAGTATATCTCCCTTTACTCATCCTTACTGATACAACAGCATCCCGTCCTCCCCCAGAATTGCTTTTTTTCACCATCTGGTCAAAGGCAATTAACTGTTGAGCGAAGACCGCCTTGTCGGGACGGAGTGTGATTAGTTCCAAGTTCTGGCTCAGGCTGACCTAACTTGACCTAACCTGGAACCGGGCGAGGGGTGAGGCCCTCGGCCGCTCTAGCGCTCACTTCCCATCCACTCCAAGGACTGCAGGGCGAGTTTCCTTTTGGCGCGGAGGGCAGTGACTCCGAGGGCCACCCGAGAATCTCCTCTGCAGTGTCGCTCCCACCACCAGGGACACGCGCGGGAGGCACCCTCGCTTTCTCGACTTTGAGCCAAGGAAGGGGTGTAGAGGGTTCCCCCAAGAAGCCAGGGGAACCCGCCAAGATCAGTCGGCTTACCCTAGCCCCTAGCTGAAGGGCTTGCTCCCAGCCAGCAAGGAGAGCGTGTGTGTGTCTCCTTGGATTCGATCAAGGAGCTGGAAAAGCGGTTCAGGAAACCCCACCCCACTCTCACCCGTGGGCCCCTCTTCCCGGCTCGGCAGGGCGCTGCGGGCGGCCACCTGCCTTCTTCCCACGGACCCCGGGCCTGCCTCACCCAGCATGATGGGGCTGAGCCTCCGGGCCAAGCCCTTGGACAGGTCGTACACGTAGAGCTTCACCGGATAGAGATTCGGCGGCTCCATCAGGACCCGTGGCGGCGGCCACGATGGCACTCGGGCACCCGGCAGCGGCTTGGACCTTCCGGTACCCGACCAAGGTGGAGAGAGGAAGGGAGCTGGGGACCGAGCCCGGGCCCCGGCTGAGGGCGGGGGGAGAGGCGGCCCTGCGCTACCCGCGCCCCCGCGCCCGCGACCAGCAACGACTACTGTGAGGTGACAGAGATCCCAGAGACTCCGCACGGAACATGGGGCGGGGGCGGGGACGCACTTTCGCGCATGTGCGTTCGGTGCTGACGGGCCTCGGGGGCGGGGCTTCGAAGGAAGGGCGGGGCTTGCCCTGCCCGCGTGCGATCCCGTTTCGGAACTTGGGTGGGAGCTAGGGGATGGGGATGGGCGTGCCCGCTTGACGGGCAGAAGGGCGTGTTGTGCGTGATGACGTCTCCGTCGTTGATTGGGAGCGAGAGCCCGAGCCCGCGCGGACGCGTTGGCCGCCTTCTGCCCCCGCGGCTCGCTCACCGGCTGCAAAGGTAGGTCGGCTGGACTGTAAGTGTCGGGTGTGGCCTGCCGTGGCCTTGCATGTCCGCTCAGTGTCGCGCGGCCCCTGGCTTCGCAGCAGAGCGGCGCCGGTCCGAAGAGACACACTGTGAGTCCTGCTCCTTGCGCCCCAAGGTGCGGCGCAGGACTAGTGGTCGAGACTTCTACTAGGAGTCCCTGGCTGAGGGTCGAGGGAGAGATGGGGGAGAAAGAGAGGCTAGGGTTTTAGCCAGAGAACCAGGTACCCTCTCAGTTGAGTAGGCACCGCAGATGAGACCTTCAGGGCTGGGCCGCTCCGTTATACCCCGCCCCTCACCGCCAGCCGCCGTGGTCCTGCAGCTTCCTTAAGGGATAGCCAAGAGGAGGTTGCTGCTGGAATGATCCCCATGCTCATTTCCTCTGCTCCCTCCAGGCACCAAGAGCTCTGGAGGTAGCAGGAGCCGTCGTTCACAGTCCTCATTAGTGACCCGAGCATCTAAAAAGAACCTAGAAGTCAGTTTTCTTTCATTTATTTATTTATTTTTTTTGTAGCACAAGACCTGGCCCGTGGTAGGCAGGTGCTCTATCTATCACAGAGCTGCTTTCCTCGGTATTTTTTTCTGTTTAAATTTGTCTGTTGTTCATAATTTCTCTCCACCCAGTGAGCAAACCAACATGTCAGGGTGGGAATCCTATTACAAAACCGAGGGTGAGGAAGAGGAAGAAGAGGAGGAGAGCCCTGACCAAGGTGGTAAGTGGCTTCATCATGTAGTGTGGTCTGTGCGGAAGAAAGACTTTCCCTGTCTACTTTTTTTTGCTGGGAGCACTTTGTTATCTGATATCTCTTCCTTTTCTCCCCAGATAATCTAAAATATTCATGCCCTCCCTTTGGGTTTTTCAGAGATATTCAGGTCCTATTCCAGTTTTCCTAACCCTAAATTTTTACTAGTCACTAAAATATTTTTCTCCTAATCTCCAATCAGTGATCAGTCCATGGTAATTTTTGTCACTTTATTTACATATTTTTGGTTGTTTTAAAAAGTATTTATTTTTATTTTATGTATGAGTGTGCACCGTGTGCATGTCTGGTGCCAAAAGGAGCCAGAAGTGGGAGTTGGATCTCCTGGAACTGAAGTTGTAGGTGGTTGTGAGCATCTCTGTGGGCGCTTCGAAGTGAACTTGGGTCATCTGTAAGAGAGCAGCAAGTGTTCTTAAACACTAGTTTAACCCCCGAGACCACTCTGGCCTGTTTTGTTTATTATTTATTTATTTGCCTTTTCAAGCCAGGGTTTGTCTGCATAGCCCTGGTTGTCCTGGAACTCTATCTGTAGACCAGGCTGGCCTCAGACTCAGAGATCCACCTGCTTCTACCTCCCGAGTGCTGAGATTAAAGGCGTGCGCCACCACCTCCCGACTAGTTAGGTGAATTTTATATGTGTAGGGCATGTATTTTGATGTTGGAAATTGGACCTAGGCCCTCACACATGCTACAAAGAAAAATAAGAAAATGAGTACCAAAAAAAGTCAAGAGAGTAGTTTCCTTTGGGGAGACATGGGAAGAATGTCGGGGAGACTGAGGGTGCCTGGCAGGACTTGGGGTTAAGTGTGTTCACTGTCTAATAATCGTCAGGTTGTACTTGTGCTCTGTGGGCTCTTTGTTTTGTGTGAGTGATAAAAACATAAGTATGACACAAAAGGTAAACATTTTCTTCCATTTTATCCCCAAGGAGAATATAAGTACTCAGGAAGAGACAGTTTGATTTTTCTGGTTGATGCCTCCAGGGCTATGTTTGAATCTCAGGCTGAAGATGAAATCACACCTTTTGATATGAGCATCCAGGTAAAACTACCTCGTTATTGAACTCATAAAATTGAGTGGGCGTGGTAGTGAAGGCCTTGTATCCCAGCACTAGGGAGGCAGATCTCTGAGTTTGAGACCAGACTGGTCTATATAGCTAATTTCAGGACAGCCAAGGGCTACATGGTGAGGCTCTATCTCAAAAAAATAAAACAAACAAACAAACAAAAAAATAGGAAGTCTGTGGAGCAGAATGTGGGTGGGTAAGGTGCTATGTGGTAGTCAGTTCAGGCCCCTAGGAACAGAAGAGCCTTTGTCTCCTGACTGACTGGCTTAAGCCTGTAGTTGAGATTAAAGACCTATGCCACCACTGCCTGGATATTTTTAAATTTTCATTGTGTGTGTGTAGGTCAGAGGGGTATCAGATCACCTGAAGCTGGAGATACAGGCAGTTGTCAGCTGCCCGATGTGGGTGCTGGTCACTGAACTTGGGTTCTCTGCAAGAACAACATGTGCTCTTAACCACTGAGCCATCTCTCCAGCCCTGTTAATACTTTTTTAAGTTGAGTGTCTCATGTATCCTAGGCTGGCCTCAAAATTTACTTTGTACCCAAGGATGACCTTAAATTTCTTTTTCTATCTCCCATGTTACTGGTATTATAAATATGTATGACCATATCCAGCAAATGCCACATTTATTTATTTTTTTAATTTATTTAATTAAAATTTTATTTATTTATTTCGTGTATGTGGCTGCTTTGTCTGCAGGTATGTCTGTGTACCACTTGTATACTTGATACCAGAGGATGCCAAAACGGGCTTCAGATCACCACACCTGGAGTTGCAGATGGCTGTGATGCACTTGAGTCCTCTGGGAGAGCAGCCAGTACTTTTAACTACTGGACCATCTCTCCAGCCCCCACAAGCACCATCTTTAAGATTGCATGTTGATGGTGGATAGTCTCAGACGGTTACCTGTACTTGCATCTGATGAGGGTAGCCATGTTGGAGGACACCCTCCATTTTATTCTGGGTACTTGAGGAATACATTGCTCCCACCTTCTGTGTTAGCTTTGGGAAGATAGAGGTGGGTTCTCAAAAAAAAAAAAAAGTGGATTTTCCTTGGAGTTGGATTGTAAAGTCAAGTGATGCTGTTACAGTGTGGATAAGGTCCTTTGGGGGCTGGCTTAGTGGTTTAATCCCCAGTACCACCACCACCACCACCACACACACACACACACACACACACACACACACACACACACACCTTTTTGCAAGTGAAACCTGAGAGTTGAAAATTACTTGTAGTAAACAGTTATAACGCAGTTTTAAAATGGGCAAAAGAGGACTAGGGATGTGTGTGTGTGTGTGTGTGTGTGTGTGTGTGTGTATAGATAGATAGATAGATAGATAGATAGATAGATAGTTAGTAGACTACTTCCTTAACATGTGGAAGACGTTAGGTTGGTGATGTACACTAGTATTTCTAGCATTTGGGAGGTAGAAGCAAGAGAATTAGAAGTTCAAGGTCATCCTTAGCTACATATTCAAGTTTGAGACCAACCTGGGCTTCATGAGATCCTGTCTCTAAAAGGGGCTTGAGGATAAAGGACTTGAGTAGACATTTCTTCAGAGATAATTAACATAAGCTGCTGTTAGGAATGCTGAAAGAGGCCGGGCATGGTGGTCATACCTTTAATCCTAGCACTCAGGAAGCAGGCTGGTCCACGTAGTGAGTTCCAGGACAGCCAGGGCTATGTAGGGAGACCCTGTCTCAAAAAAAAAAAAAAAAAAAAAAAAAAAAAAATATATATATATATATATATATATATATATATATATAATATGCATATGTATTATATATAATTTTTTTTTCTCTTTTGAGACAGGGTTTCTCTGTATACCCTAGGTTGTCCTGGAACTAGCTCTGTAGACCAGGCTGGCCTTGAACTCACAGAGATTCACCTGCCTCTGCCACCTGAGTGCTGGGATTAAAGTGCACTACTTGGGGTTGGGGATTTAGCTCAGTGGTAGAGCTCTTGCCTAGCAAGCACAAAAGGCCCTGGGTTCGATCCTCAGTTCCAAAAAAAGTGCGCCACTACCGCCCAGCAGAAGTTCTACTCTTAATGTATATAGAAGCTTAGTGTTAAGTAAACACTCATAGAATTTTTATTTTTTTCAGTGTATCCAGAGTGTGTACACCAATAAGATCATAAGCAGCGACCGAGATCTCTTGGGAGTGGTGTTCTACGGTACCGAGAAAGACAAAAACTCAGTGAATTTCAAGAATATTTATGTCTTACAAGATTTGGATAGTCCAGGTCAGTAATAGTCAAAGAGCATGGTTTCCCTTGTGTGAGACCATCACTAAGCTGAAACAGAGCTGGGCTCTGGAGGAGGAAGCAGCTTTGATCCTGGCTCCCCGGGGACTTGCTTTCTTGCACAGAAAGTCCCTGCTGGACCTCCACTCCAGTCACACGGTGGCGGCGGTTGAGTGAGGCCCTGGGGGAGGTGGTGCTGACGGCCTTGTTCCTCTGTCCCCTTTGACTCTGTCCCTTACCAGGTGCTAAAAGGGTGCTAGAGCTTGACCGGTTTAAGGGACAACAGGGGAAAAAACATTTCCAAGACACGATTGGCCTCGGCTCTGATTACTCCTTGAGTGAAGTGCTCTGGGTCTGTGCCAACCTCTTCAGTGACGTCCAGTTCAAGATGAGTCATAAGAGGATCATGCTCTTCACCAATGAAGATGATCCGCATGGCAATGACAGTGCCAAAGCCAGCCGGGCCAGGACCAAAGTTAGTGATCTCCGTGACACTGGTGGGCATCTTCCTTATCCTTATTTTATTATTACTTTATGAGAATATTTACTTGTTTTAGTGTATGTGTGTGCCTGTATGCATTGATGTGCACCATGTGCATTCAAGAGCCCATGGAGGTGGAAGAGACGTCACATCCCCTAGTGCTGGAGTTACAGATGGTTGTGCATGGCCATGTGGTTGCTGGAAACTGAACCCAGGTCCTCTGCAAGAGCAGCCAGTGCTCTTTTTGTTTGTTTGTTTTTTGGAGACAAGGTTTCTCTGTGTAGCTTTGGAGCCTGTCCTAGAACTTGCTCTGTAGAACAGGCTGGCCTCAAATTCAGAGATCTACCTGCCTCTTCCTCCTGAGTGCTGGGATTAAAGCTGAATGCCACCACCACTCGGTCAGCCAGTGCTCTTATTTGCTAAACCATCTCTTCAGCCTCGTTTCCTTATTTGCTTTTTTTTGTTCATTTTATTTGTTTTATGCATATGGGTTTTTTGAATGCATGCATGTGTGTGAATCTATCTCTCCAGCCGCACAGGAATGTATATTTTAATTTTTTAAAAATTTAATTAAGAATTTTATTTGTATGGATGTTCTGCCTGCATAGATATTTGTGTACCACTTTCATGCCTGGTGCCTGTGGAGGCCTGAAGAGGGCATTGTATCCCCTGGAACTGGAGTTAGACAACTGTGAACTGCCATGTGGGTACTGGGAATCGAACCCAGGTCCCCTGGAAGAGCAGCCGGTGCTCTTAACTGCTGAGGCACCTCACCAGTCCTTCTTATTCTTTTAAATGGCTCCTAACCTGTTTTCTTTATAGCTGAGATCAAGCATTTGCTTTGGCCATCCAGAGACAAATGAAAGGGTAAAGTGGAACCCGGGGCAGACACTAGTGTGGCCTAAGTGGCCTTGCCAGCTGTCTAAAGGTCTCTAGCAGAGCATGCTTCTCTTGACCTCAGTGCCACGAGGAATGGGGGTTCTTTGAGTGTTGTTTGAAGTTATGGTAGCTGATTGGCATAGCCACTCTCTTTAGGTCCTGATAATGTGAATAGTCAGTCTAGATTTTGTTTTGGGTTCGACCATTTTTTGAGATATTTTTGTTATATAACCCATGCTGGTCTGGAACTTGCTATGTAGTCAGGCAGGCCTTAAGCAGGCATTCCTGCCTCGCCTCCCAGGCGGTAGTATTGCTGGTGTATACCGTTGTGCCTGGCCTAGGGAGGCATTTGAAGGACGTGTGGCTTAGGCTGGAGAGATGGCTCAGTAGTTAAGAGCACTGGCTGGTCTTCCAGAGGATTTGGCCTCCATTGTTAGCACCCACATGGTGACTAACAACTGTCTCCAGTGCCAGGGGATCTGACCAGCTTTTCTGGCCTCTGTGGGCACTGCATGCATGAATTACAGAGACAGACATGAAAACAAAACACAGATAACATATAAATACTTCTTTAAAAAAAAAAAAGTAAAGGATGTTTGGCTGTACCTGGTGATGTATGCCCCAAATCCCAGTGCTTTGAAGATTGAGATGAGGAATATGAGTCCAGCCTGGGCTACAGAGTGAGGCCCTCGCTCAAACACAACAATCCAGCAAACAAACCCCACTTGAATTTAACTGAGTTGGGCACAATGTCATATCCACAGCTTCAGATGCTGGGGAGCCAGGGGCAGGAGGGCTGCCTAATCCAGGCTGTACTGCAGGACACTGAGCACTGCCTGCCTGCTTGTTTGATAGACAGATTCTCCTCTCAACCAGGCGGTCTGGAAGTTGCTGCCGAGCTGAGGATAACCTTGAATTTCTGGTCCAAATCCTGACATACCTCCTGAGTACTGGGATTGCAGACATGCGCCACCACCGCCCCTGGCTGCATATATATTTTATACATATACCATATATATATATATATAAATGCATACATATTTGTCTTTTTGAGACAAGGTTTCTCTGTATAGCCCTGGCTGGCCTCAAACTTACAGAGATCTGCCTGTCTCTGCCTCCTGAATGCTGAAAAAAAGGATGCATTGTAATTCACTATGGCCCCAAACTCAATATGTGGCATAATGTAGCCTCAAACTCACAGCAGTCCTCCTGCTTCGGCCTCCCAAGTACTGAGATCATTTGCATGTCTGGTGCAGACATGATCTTTTAACCATTTCTCTTTCTGGAGATAGGGTGTCACTGTGTATCTCTGGCTGGCTTGGACCTTGCTATGTGGACCTAGTGACTTCTAACTTTGTTACATTTCTCCTGCCTCTGTCTCCCAAGAATTAGGATTATCCATATATATCACATCCGGCCTGACACCCTCTCTTAAACAAAAATGTAGCCGCCCCCCCCCCCCCAAAAAAAAATAACCACACTTAGCTGGGTATGGTGGTACGTGCATTTGTCCCAGCACTGGGAAGACAGAGGCAGATAGATTTCTGAATTCCAGGTCAGCCTCGACTATAAAGTGAGTTTGAGGCCAGTCAGAGCTACATACTGAGACCCTGTCTCAACTGCCCCCAATGAAAATAAATAAACAAACAAACAAATAAATAAATGAAATTCTTAAAAATTACATTTATGCCAGGTAGCACACACCTTTAATCCCAGAAATTAGGAGGCATAGGCAGGCAGATCTCTATAAATTCTAGGCCAGCCTGGTCTACAGAGCGAGTTCCAGGATAGCCAGGGCTACACAGAGAAACCTTGTTTTTTTGTTTTGTTTTGTTTTGTTTTGTTTTCAGACAGGATTTCTCCATGTTTTGGTGCCTGTCCTGGATCTCGCTCTGTAGCCCAGGCTGGCCTCGAACTCACAGAGATCCGCCTGGCTCTGCCTTCCGAGTGCTGGGATTAAAGGCATGCACCACCACCACCACCACCACCACCACCACCACCACCACCACCACCACCCGGAAAGAAACCTTGTCTTAAAAAAAGAAAAAGAAAAAAATTACATGTACTTATTTTATGTATCTGTGTGTGGGCACATGGATGTTACTTTGCCATCTGTGGAGGTCAAAGAATAGCTTGTAGGCGTCAGTCTTCTCCTTTCAGTGTGTAGGTCCTGGGTGTTGACTCAGGCCGTCAGGCTTGGTGGCGAGTCCCTTTATCCAATGAGCCATCATGGTGACTTAACAACACCTCTTTGTAGGACATGGGAGATGGCTCATTGGTTAAGAGTATGTAGATGCCGGCAGTGGTGGTGCACGCCTTTAATCTCAGCATTCAGGAGGCGGAGCGAGGCGGATCTCTGTGGGTTCGAAGCCAGCCTGGTCTACAGACTGAGATCCAGGACAGGCACCAAAACTACAGAGAAACCCTGTCTCGAAAAAACCAAAAAAGAAAAAAAAAAGTATGTAGAGCTCTTTTTTTAAAAAAAGTTCTTACCAGGTACCAACCCATCATCCTAGCACTGTACAGTGGAGGGGTGTGGGGTACACAGAGGCAGGAGCCTTGTCTCGAGTCCCAGGCCAGCGAGGACTACACACTGAGATCTGTCTGAACACAGAACGGCGAGTCTCATGTGCTGTATTTTGTTGTCCTGGTTTTGCTCTTTCTTCACGTCAGGGATCTTCCTTGAATTGATGCATCTGAAGAGACCAGGGGGCTTTGACATATCCTTGTTCTACAAAAACATCCTCAGTACAGCTGAGGACGAGGATGTCGGGGTTTACTTTGAGGAATCAAGCAAGCTGGAAGACCTGCTAAGGAAGGTTCGAGCCAAGGAAACCAAAAAGCGAGTGCTGTCCAGGTGGGCACCGGCCTGTGTGAGCTGCCCATCCTTGCCTAACAAATCGCAAACAGCACATAGATTGGACTTCCCCACCTGTGTTTCTGCCACACCATTCCTCTGCCTGCTTTACCTCGGGATAACATGGGCTGCCTCTTCTTGGCCGGAGATGGTACTGTGTGTTTCCACGGTAACGCAGCCTTCCGCTTCCTTGATGTCTAAGTACTCTGCAGCACTCCTTAGGACCTTGTCTGATCCCTTTAAGTGGCAGATGGCAGGAACATCTGCCTCATTAGGTTATTTATTGTAAGGAGTAAGTAAAAGACATCTAACACACACAGAGAAGCTTAACAGATGTTTGTTCTTCCTTCCCCTTCCCTCCTTCCCTCCTTCCCTCCTTCCCTCCTTCCCTCCTTCCCTCCTTCCCTCCTTCCCTCCTTCCCTCCTTCCCTCCTTCCCTCCT